AAAAAAAAAAAAAAAAGTTGTGTATCAATCCCAAAATATTTTTATCACTCCAGTGGGGGGGAAATCCCTTCCTATTAGCAATTACTGCTCATTCCTCTGAGCCCCTGACAACCACTAACCTGTATTCTGTCTCTATGGATTTGCCTATTCTGGATATTTAATATAAATGTGGTCACACAAATGTTGCATTTTGTGTCCATTTTCTTTCACATAGCATAATATTTTCAGGATTCATCCATTCTGTAGCATGTATTCATGCTTTATTCCTTTTTATGGCTGAATAATACTCCATTTTATAGATATACTACAATATATTCATCTTTGAACTCATAGACATTTGGGTTGTTTGCATTATTCAGCTATTATGGATGAGGCTGCTATGAACGTTTATATACATGTTTTTGTGTAGACAATGTTTTCTGTAGCTTTGGGTTTCTATAGTTACGACTTCACTGCTAGGCTATATGATAACTCTATGTTTGGCTTCGTGAGCAACTGCCAAACTTCCCCAAAGCAGCTATGCCATTTTATATTCTCATAGGCAATGTATGAGAATTCTAGTTTTTTTAGATCCTTGCCAGCAGTTGTCACCATCTTATTTATTATCGCCACCCTGATGAATGTGAGTTGTTATCTCATTAAGAATCTTTTTTGTTTGGTTTTCAGGTATCAGTGAATTTAAAAGGATTTAAGTCATATAAAGAATGTTCTCCAAATACAGTGGAACTAAAATACAAATCAATACCAAAAAGATAACTGGAAAACACAAAGCTATTCGGACATGCTGGGAATGTAGCTCAGTGGCACTGGATCTGCCTGGCAAACACGTGGTCCTGAGTTTGATCCCCAGTACAAAAAAAAAGTTCAGAAAATGCATAACACACTTTTCCCCCTAAAACTGTAGCAGAATACATGTAATGTAAAATTCACCATTTTAAAACATACTATTCAGTGACCCTAAGCAAGTTCATACATTGTTGTGCTACTCATAAGTGACATCACACATAGCGTTTATCCTTTTGTAACTGGCTTATTTCACTTAGCATAATGTCCTCAAGGCTCATCCATGTTGTCTCGAGTCTTTGTGACTTCCTTATCTTTATGGTTTCCTTTTAAAACTG